TTTGACGCCTAAAGATTTCTCGTATAATTTTTCGATTCTTATACGGAACTTGTTTTACCAAGTTGGAGAAGATCTTTATAACTTCGGCAAATTATCGAGTTCACTCTGAAGTTTCGCAGAGATTTTCTAACCGCATGGTTGCGACGAGAGATGCTGTATAGTCCTCGAGATTATTTCCCAGACGTTTTGGATCAGTTTTTAGCGTTTAGACGGTTCTTAGATTGTCGTTTGCTTTTGGGATGATTTTGACGAGGCGTCGCATTGTCCGAATATTTTTCTACTTGTTTTGGCGAGAGTTTGCTTTATAGAAAGCGTTTTCTCGACGCGAGGGAAAATATCCGAAGAAAAGAAAAATGACGAGTTTCCATTGAAAGATTCGGATGATCGATAATTAGGGTTGGTTAAAGATTGTGGTAGATTGGCGATGACTTGGAGTATGTCTGGTTTACGAAAATTTCTAGGAGCGAGTCGGTTTTAAGACGATGTCAGCGTCTCTAGCTCCTTCTTTCTTTTAGGAAATGAATATGTTCGAATGCGTGGTGATCGTTTCTCGGTTGTACGAGAGATTGGATCGGTTTGCGAGTTATGCCTGAATGGTTAGAGAACAACAAATCGGGATAGACAAAAATTTCCTACGACTTAGCATGCTAGACTATTCTCTAAATTCTAAGTTCTCTAGGTTTCACGGCAGTTTACAAGACGTTTTCGTTTCTTACCTACGAGAAATTAGAAGTCTAATAAAATTTACAAATCGGACATACCTTAGTCTCGTCGATGATTTGGGATCGTCTATTCTTCGTTCTTCGTCTTTTGACTTACCGGTCTTCGAAGAATTACCAGCAAGAGTATCGGAGCGGGGAGAAGACTTAATGATCGGAGCTCATGTTCTTGTTTCTTCGTACTGCTGGTTTTATTTGACCAACTAGGTGCGCTTTGTATCAAAAAAATCAATCACGTGTTTATGATTGGATGTTTTCGACTTAGCGTGGCAGAGTTTCGTAAAACCGGATTGGGTCTAGAGAGTTCAGATTTCTCGTATAGTTTAGGCAACTTTGGTGTTAAGTCAACCGTTGCCGTTTTAGACGATTGATTCGAACTTATACGAAGAAACAAGTCTTCGTGGTTTTATCGTAAAATCCCGATGGAAATTCCGATTAAGACGGAACAAGAATCAGCGCGATCATGACTCGAGACAGAAACTCGAGGATTGGTTCAGCTCGACGTAGGGAAAGTCGGGTGAGCTAGCTAGCTAGATCTACGTTCGGCGAGCTAAGGCAGCTTGGTTTAGCTCTACATTCGGCAAGCTAAGACGCTTGGTTTAGCTCTACGTGCGGTGAGCTGAGACGCTTAGTTTAGCTCTACGTAGAATCTCAACGGAAAGTCCGATTGAGACGAAACAAAAAGCGTCTCGATCAAGATTCAAGATGGAGATTTTTCGATCCATCGAGCTTGTCCAACTTGCCTAATGGTGAGTCGGCGAGCACAGTCCCGAGTCATCAAGCTATCTTGTTTTCGTTGTAAAATCTCAACGAAAACTTTGATTGAGACGAAACGAAAAGCAGTGCGATTATTGTTTAGAGTACGGTCCGGCTCACCATAGCTATGAGTTGGATTGTGCGGAACCTGGGGGAAAAGTCAGTGCCTCTAGGACGAGGTGGAAAGCCGGTCAGCTTGCCAAGATGGCAAGCTAGGTTGCTTGGCCAACTCACCGTCTTTTCGGCTGGATAGTATTGCCCGATTCTGCGAGTAGCCTAAGGTTCTTCCGCGAGCAACCTAGGGTTTTGTCGCGAATAACCTAGGGTTTTTCCGCGAGTAACCTAAGGATTTTTCCACGAACAGCCTAGGGTTTTTCCGCAAGTAACCTAGGATTTATTTCGCGAGTAACTTACGGTTTGTTCCGCATTTTCAAGGAGAGCAAGTTTTATTTTTCCGAAAAGTTCTCGAAAAACATCTTTTGCTCAACCCGTGAGATTTCTCTAAATCGGAAATAAGAAAAACACTATGGGGTTTGATAGATTTTATCGTTTACCTTAGTGATCTGAGATTGAAATCGTGAGCTTGTTTTGTTGCTCTTCCCGTGGTGAAGAGTCGCGATTAGGTTTTCGATTTTGTTGAGTACTACAGCGTTTGCCTGAGCGTCGGCTGTACGAGTAGTCGCTGCTGGAGTTGTTTTACCAGAGTTTTTGCGAGTTGCGACTTTGTCTTTCATATATCCAGACATCGTTTTGATCAAGCGTTTTGCGGCTATGAGTAAGAGTAATCCGACCCCCCCCCCTCCTTCTAGCGCCAAACTGTGGGAACCAAAATTCACACCTGTCGATATCCTTAAAATAAAAAATGTTAGGAAAACCCTAATTTTCCAGAGGAACCGGATCTCTGCGAAAGCCAACGACAAGTAACGAAGAACGTGATTAATATGAATAAATTGAAAGATATAAAAATAAAAACTAGATTGAAAAGCAAGAAGGATTCTTATTCCGAATTCGCGTAAGAATGGTTACAACAAGAGTTGCCTTAGCTGCGTGAGCCGTCAGCAAAATTCCTAGTTCTAGCGATCTAAGACTAAAACCCTAGTTGAGACGCAGCTCGATAACGAAAACGGAAAATTGCCTAAATGCTAAGTTTGGTGGTGAAAGCTCTGAAAACTCGTGTCTGCTTCTGCCCTATACCTCTTGCTTATATACTCCCTGCCTTGGCGATTCGATCTTTCCATTTTCCCCGGATTTGAATGTATCGGGAATCTTCCATTCTTCTCGATCCTTCCTTTTCTTCCGCGGAAATCTTCTATTTGTCTTCAAACTTGCCTTTTATCTTCGAGCTTGACATTTATTTTCCTTCTGCGAGTAAATCGCCAAAACGTTATCGTATCTTCGGGTTTGATTCTGTTGAGATCGCGAGATGGGCTTTTATCGCGTTTTAGGACCTTCCGGGCCGTTTTGCCATAAATCCGTTTCTCGACCTTGTACGGAATCGTTTCCTGATTCGATGCCGTTTTTAGTAAATTCCTCGATTTAATCGTAATGTTTAGCTACGTTTGTTTCTCGGTTAATCGTTTCCGTCTTTTACAATTTACTCGACATTTTTATTAAAAACGCGTTTTTTACGATTTACTCGAGGTTTTTATTAAAAATACGTTTTTACGACTTTAACGAAAAATCTCGGATAAATCGTATTTTTAGGCGATGGTCGGTGTCTTCTTTAACCGTTACCGTTTTATACGATTTCTTCGAGTTCTTTTCGAGAAAAATGAGTTTTACGGTTCTTATCGTAAAATTCGAACGATAAGTCGGATCGAGACGAAACGAGAGACATTTCGGCCGTGGTTCAGAATGCGACCGTGTCAAAGGACTTAAGTTTCGAATCGGGGATGCGGGAGATCGAGGCTCGGGATGGTCGGTTCAACGAACGGAGAATCGAGCCGGCCCGATCCAGCTCGCCGGTTTGACGAACTGTCCGGGAAATCTCTAGTTCGCCTGCTGGCGAACTAAGCCAAGCTGGCTTAGTTCGCCAGCAGGCGAACTAGTCGGGAAGTTCCTAGATCGCCTGCTGGCGAACTTGTCGGGAAGCTTCTAGTTCGCTTGCTGACGAACTAAGCCAGCTTGGCTTAGTTCGCCAGCAGGCGAACTAGTCGTGACTAGTTCGCGTTTTGCGGCGGTTTCGGTTTTTCGCGGTTTTATAAAATGATTCTCGAGTTTTATAAAACGACTTCTCGAGTTTTATAAAATGATTCTCGAGTTTTATAAAACGATCTTTGAGTTTTATAAAACGATCTTCGGGTTTTATAAAACGACTTCTCGAGTTTTATAAAACGATCTCTCGAGTTTTATAAAACGTATTTTTATTTTTTCTTTTGCGGAGACTATTAGCCATTGATTCCGCCGTGACCAATTTTTACACCAACATCTTCCACGTTAGTGTTTTGTAAACTTGTATTTTTAAGAATGTTAATTTAAGATAAGTTTTTTTTAACTTTCAAAAGTGTTAAATAATTTCAAGAAGATTATAATGTGTACATGAAAATGAAATTAGAAAAGTTAACCTACTCATTATGTCTTAGTTGTTATAATTACAAAATTTATTGGTTTTACTTCTTAAAATACTTTATTGATTTTACTTCTTAGAAGTTAAAACTAGTGAACAACTATTATAAGTTAATGAGAAGAAGTTGTTTATAGTTACAAACTTATATTTTTGCAGAGTATTGGAGATCCAAAGATGAAAAGAACTACACAATGAACATCATGTTTTGAATTTGAAGGCCAACAGATTGTTAGCAACATATATTACATCTTGAGAAACATCATTCTTGATTTTACAAACATAGAACCATACTTTTATTCTACTCTTGTTTACTTTAATAATATCAAGTAATTCTGCACAATAAACATATTTACCCTATTTTTTATTAATATTTCTTATAATTTACAAAAAAAAAAAATCACAACTAAAAAGTACACATACAGATCACAAAACAGACCATAGACAAAACTATTATAGATCATTCCTCCACAAAGACAAGCTTGGACTCCACTTAATATAAGAGAAGACGTCAGAAGACTTAAGACTACGCCAGAAGACTTCCAAGAAAGTCTTCTGAACGTCTTCAGGAAGTCGTCTATAAGTCTTTCAATGTCTGACTTAGATCTGAATAACCTGCAAAAAACAAGATAAATTAGTAAGAAAGACATAACGAAAAAATGAGAAATTGATATAAAGTTTGGTGTTTTCATGTTTAAAAGATTAAAGAGAGGTTGAAAAGTTTTAGTTTGGAAAAAAGATAAGAGATTTATGCAACAAGAAATTATAAAATGAAGAAAAATCAGACATGAAAACTTACCAAAACGTTCATATCTGTTGTGGAAGAGGAGACATGGAAGAAGACTACGTCAAAAGGCTTAAGACTACGTCTGAAAACTTAAAACTACGTCAGAAGACTTAAGACTATGCCATAAGACTTAAGCTACACGAGAAGACTTCTAGCAAAGTCTTCTGAACGTCTTCTAAAAGTCTTTCAATATTTGACTCAGATCTGAAAAAACCTATATATCCAAAAACGTACAAATGCCATCAAAACAAAGAAAAAATTAAAAAAAAACAATGTTTTAAGCTTAAATAATAACTAAAACAACCAAATTATGTTGAATCTATAACCTATTAAAATCTAATATATAAAAGACACAAAACACTACAAGAAAACAATTTTTTTACTACTGGCTATATCCGTGGTTAATTCGTCGTAATAGGACATTTACGACGAATTAACAAGGAAACGCGTTTCGTTGTTAATCGCCCGTCGTAATGCACATTTCGTCGTAAAGGCCACGTAACGTTACGAGGAACAAGTGTCGTTGTAAAAGCGAAGTAGAATACTTCGTCGTAAGATCGACGTTAACCAGCGACGTAAAGTCCACGTTCCCTTTCGACGTAATTACCACGTAAAGGTTCGATGTTAAGTAGATGTAAATTTACGAGTAGGTTACTAGTAGAACATGTAAAGTCGTAGTAAATATTACAACGAACTTACTTGTAATTAGATGTTAAGTCGTTGTAATATTTACAACGCAATTACTTGGACTGTTTATATATAATTTATAATTTAAAAAAAAATTATATATTTTTATTTATAAATTTTGTAATTTAAAAATATAAAACCAAAAAATTTTAAAATTAAAATTGTTTAAAAAACATTATATTAAAAAAGTCATAAAATAATATATAAATTTATAATACAAAAGAAAATAAAATAAAATAAAACTACGGCATTTTGGTGCGCAGGTACTCGTTGGGGCGGCTGAGTTCCGGGCCGGGTCGACTGGTTGACTCAGGAGGATGCTGCTCCATTCCGAGAGCCGCTCGTCTTGCATTTAGCGCTCTCTGCATAACCGGGTTATCGATGGCCACGATGTCCAACAAATCCTCAAGTGAGTCCAAACGGTCCTGCTGGGACCGCATCTGAGACCGTAGCTGAGAAGTTTCCTCATCCCGGCGCGAAGTGTACGAAGAAGTTGCCCTTGGAACTTCGTTAACGGGGCCTATTCCCACTGTTCCCTTCTTTCTAGGAGCCACCTTGTTTCAAAAAAGGTTCATTAATATTGAAATAATAATTAATAAAATTGAATTAATATAAACAAATTAAAATTTATTCAAAAATTTTACCTCTTCGAAAATCCGATCGACTTCTTCTGTAGTCAATGTGACGGGTGACCCATCAGGAGCCTGTTGGGTTAGTTGTGTCTGCCGCTCCTCAACCCGAGAAACCACATCGTTATAGAGTCTCTCGGAATGTGGATACACAAAAACTCCATCTGGTGTGGCGTGAGTCATCCTGAATAGCTCAGTCAGAGATGGCATGACTCCGGTTTCTCGGCCTAGAAACAAAATAAAAGAGTTAATATTTTTAATTACTTAATTAGCAAATAATAAAAAACAATATTAAAAATAAAACTTACAACATCTAGACGAATCCCAGCGTGAGGCTTTTGGCCGGTTCTATGAAGCATGGGGTCATTGCCGTACTTATCCTTCGTTCTTCGGGAAGAAGAGCAGGAGTTGGCCTTTTTGATGGAGGAAGGGAGGCTCCAATAGCGGATGAGACCATTCCCTACAAAGTTGGAGATCTCCTTGGGCTTCCCTTCATAACCGTAAAGTTCCCATTTGTCCTTCCAATCTGAGACGGTGTTGCAAAGACGAGTCTTGGCTTTTGCTTTAAAAGCCTCCTTCACCTTCTCGTTGATCGATAATGGCCAATGCCACTTTTGCTGAAACCAAAAAAAATATAATTTTAAAATATTAAAAAATAATATTAAATATTATAAAAATATATTTACCGCAAACATTTTAAACCACGTTATCTTCACGTGGTCTGGAGTCATACTCCAATTCGGATGGGGCTCGAGAAAATACCCCTTCATCGTGTCTAAAACACTTCAGCTAACGCGGTTGTTTGCTCCAAACCTGGAAAAATATAAATTAAAAAAATAAATGTCATCAGTCATCAGTTTATAAATAAAAAATTAAGAATTAAAAAAAAAAACTTACCAATAAGTACCCCGCGGACGATCAGGGTCCAGAATATCTAAACCTTCTCGCCCCAGTTGGACAAGAAGATCCTCCACAGTATAGGCAGCATATGGTGCACTGAGAGGTACCCACAAATCTGGATGAACCTGATCACCGCCTGCGGGAATGGGATCGGAAATGGGATCGGGAACAGATGCGGGATTAGGACCGGGATGTCGAGTAGGACCGGAAGGTGGAGGCATCTCATGATATGGTATATCATGGCCGGGATAATATGCCTGAGAATCCGACACACGCTCAGAAGATGACGGTCCGGAAGAAGATATCCCGATACCATCAGTACCAAACATCTCACTATACGAAGGAGGTGGTCTAATCGGTCTCGGTCTAGGAGCCATCTAAATTAAAAAAAAAAATTCATCAGCCATCAGTTTATCTAAAATAATTAATTACATAATCTAACAATCTAACCTAACCACCTAATTTATTACGTAACCTAATCATCTAAACTAACCACCTAACTAACTATCTGACCAAAAACTAAACTAAACTAAAAAAAACAAAAAAAAAATAAGAGAGAGGAGGTTACCTCGAGAGGGAGAGGAGGTAAGGAGGAATGAACGAGCGAACAGCCTCGTATGCGAGTGTGCTTATATAGATAATTGCTTTCGTCGTAAGTTGACAAGGCTTTTACCAGGCCCGTGTTTCTATTACGACGAAACTATCAGGCCCGTGTTTTCACATTACGATAAAACTACCAAGCCCGTGTCACATTACGACGAAACTACCATGCCCGTGTTTTTCACATTACGACGAAAGTACCAGGCCCGTGTTTTTCACAGTACGACGAATTAACTAGGAAATATATGAAACCCCGAAAATCAAATCCCTAAACCCCAAAGTTACTTCGTCTTCTCTTCTTATTCTTATTCTTCTTATTCTTCTTCTTCTTCTAAATTTTTCTGAACCCTAAACTTATTATATCAAACAATATTTTTTAAACTTATCATATTAAACAACATCTGTTACAAATCGTTTACTGATATAAAAGAACAACATTTGATACATATTTTACAACATATGGTACATATTTTACATCATTCGGAATCATTCGAGTTCTCATCAACATCAGGAGAATCATCATCGCTTATACCTTCGAATTCGTCTTCACATGTTTCATCCATCACATCGTCGGGAAGATCTTCGTATCGATGATTATGCTGATCAATAAGAAAGATTTCATCAGTTTCTTGATCAGGTACTTCTACTTCAGTGACACACACTTCTTCTTACAAGGGTGGTTCTTCTCCAGAAATTATGCGTCCACGAGGTGTAATCTTGATAACATCTAACCAAGTTGTTCCTGAACTTCTAAGGCGAGGGTATGGAATGAAGCTAACTTGCTCGGCTTGAGAAGCTAAGATGAAAGGTTCGAATTTGTTGTATCTTCTTGAAGAGTTGACAGCCACAACACCGAATTTGTTAAACCGAACACCCCTGTTCACAACAGGGTCGAACCACTCACATTTGAAGAGGACACATCTGAG